ATTTGTATTTTTGTTTGAGTTTTTATTTATAACTCTTGGCTGTCAATACAAACCATGTGTTTTTGTTTTATCTTCATGAATTCGGAGTAGTCTTTTTTCTTTCTTCCTGCATATGAGAATTAATTAAGTGGGTGAGATTGATTTAATTTTTTTTTTATTTTATAAAATTGCGATGGTATTTTCATTGTTTCTTCATTGACTTTACAAATTGGTCATTTGTGATGTTAAAATCTATTATAAAACATAATGACCTGGGAGTCTATGATTTCACCAACTAGTGAGTACCACACTTAACTTTGGAAAGAGCTGTTGCGATCGTCCGAGGGGAAGTGCAAATAGATTGGGAGATAAGTTTTGATGGACATATAATTGATGTTTCTAGGGTGACAGACTAGATAATTCTATCAATTTGATATTGAGTTAGAATCTAAGGGTCACTAGTAGGTCCTAAAGAGAGGGCATAGTGGGTAATCTGGAAGCGAGAGGCTAGAATTTACTCAGCACTACTACACAAGCTGGAATAAACTTAAGGTTAGCCAATGTTCTTTGTTAGCACCGAGAGGGAGTAAAGAATAGGTATGCTCCTTTTTACTACAATACATCATTTTATATTTATAATTATTCAATTCCTACACTGATTAAAATCTCTTTACAAAGGGAAAGATCTTTTTATTGTATTTTAGCTCTTTTAAACTTATTAGTCCTTTAAACTTTGTTCTTACATTCTGTTTAAACTTAGATTACACATGAATTTTGTTTTAATCATTTGCAAATAATTTGACATCATTCTCCTATCATTTTTATTTGCACTTTAGATAGAAGTTTTTCTAAGTTATTATTAAAAAGTTACAGCTTTTCCTGTGGAATCGATATTGGGGTTTTTTAAAAAAATCCTATATTACTTAAAACAATACATATAATTGTGTAGTATCCATAGTGTGAAGTTTTATTTTCTATTTTCTAAATTGTTTTATCTATTCACACTAGCAGCTAAATATAATTTGGGCCTAGTTTTTGGCAATCTTTGGAGTATAAATATCTGCGTAATTGATGGTTAGGTCAATTATATATGACCTTTCAGCTCGTGAAAAATTTAGTTTACATAGTAGATATGTTATAAACTATTTTCATTTTCAATGGTACTAAATGAACTTCAATCATCTTCATTTACTCCAACATAGAAAAGAACAACCTTGTTAACTTAAAAAAAACTTTAAATCAACAGAGGAAAGCTGAAAATAAAATTTTATTTTTCGAAGTTGTTCTAACAATCCACAATCCAATGTGATTTTTTTTTTTTGTTTTTAAAAGCATTGAACAATGAGGAGCACTTGACTCCTAATTTGTACATAAAATACTTTTTGATTTAATTTAACCAATAAGTGTTTGTATCTCATTTTCATTTTCAAAGAAGTGGCATTTTTGGGATTAGCATTTAATTTATTTTGGATGAATTTAAATTTTGATTAAAATCAACCAAAAATTCATTTTTAATATAGTACCAAAAATACATTTTTAAAGCTTGAACTTAAAATGTAATGTTTTTGAATTAGAAATGTCTTATTTAATTTTAGAATATACTACTTTGATGCTTTACTCTTCTTATACAATTTTTTGCCTAGACTAACTTTTTTTTCTTTTATCTTATACAATTTTTTGCCTAGACTAACTTTTTTTTTTTTTCAAGAAAAAAAATTCCATAATCTTCTAATAAATTGCACAAATTTTTTTCAACTAATAAAAATTACCTTAAATTAATATATACTATCCTAAACTATCCTAAAATATGAATCGATTCTTCTAAAAAAACTCATCATATTCAAGCTAAAATCCATGTAATCTAAATTATCAATTTTTATAAGTGGATAGCTATCATTTGGGCAAATTATATTAAACTTTATAAATTTTAAATTAGTCCTCCATATAAAATTTGATTTTTAAACTATCTCGAAGTAGAAATTAAATTTGGATATTATAACGCCTTTATGAATTTAGCTTCAATGATAATTTAGACATTTTTCCAAATTATTTTGGCAAAAAATACATCATTTAGACAATTTTTCTAGTTAATTAACTTAACTTTCACATTGAATTTAAGTTCATACAAAACAACGGTTTCATTGATCAACAAAGACATAAATATATTACAAAGAGTTTGGGTTAACTCACTTCGCATTTTTTTCGTCAAAAGAAATTTGACTGAAAAAGGGCAATAATTTTCTCCATGGATAATGGGTGTTCCTACTATTTCAAATAGTTTGAGAAAATATACCACTTGAACTTTCAGTTGATGAACATTCTCTGGAATATTACATGTAATATTCAAATATTATGGTCATGATTGCAAGAAATCTCACCTTGCTATCATAACTTGTTAAACCACCAAAAACTTCTTTGTGACATGATTAGTAAAGACTAAGGCTTTTGTGCTAAGCCTGAATAAATTCCTTTAGTTTTTTTCCTATTTTTAAGCTTTTTAACCAAGGTAGTAAATGTTTTGGTGTTATCTTACATCAAAACCGTAATCTATATGATAAGAATAAGCTTTTGGAGGATCTAGAGAGTGGGGGTAAGCCATTATTTGCATAGGTCATTTACAATATTATTTATTATTATTGTCTTTCATGTGTTTAGCCATTGAAACTATTAAGTGGGTAACCATTAGATACCAATGAGTTGAAGGAAACAATCTCTCCTTTCATTTTTGATTATTATGATCAGTGTATCATATTCACACATCTATGTAGTGATGTTATTGATGATATGAATCTCGTGGTTGACTTAGGTGTCACTATTGAGCCGTAGGTCCTTTATGAAATTGAGCCAAAAGAAATTGACTTTAATTGTATTGTTCTATGTTGACATGACTAATGAAGCATTTCAAAACTAGGCCTTGATTTTCTAATATTGAAGGCCAAATCTCCAACAAAATTGTCCAACCTATAGACCTTGAGAGAGCCTAACCCGAGCAAAACAAGCTAAAAATCATTCGTACCAAATAGTTGTCTTTATCACTTACTGCCAAAGATTATCAAATATATTTCAGGTTACTGCCAAATTTCTAATAAGGCAAACAATTCTTAAATGTCCTCTGAGCAATGGCAAATTTAGAGATGAATTGCTTTATAAGTTCAAAGAATGATATGATCGCTCACATTGATCGTTTCATTAAAAAAAGAGAGATTATTCCTTAAAAGTAAAAAAGAATAACTTATATTTCAATGTATTATTCTTGTTAATAACAAAATGATGAGTTTAAAGTGGCAACATGATCACCGAATTTGTATTATACTAAAATTTAAGGTGAGAGATCTTAAAGTTCACAATAATTTTTTGGCTCTATGATCTCGCTAAATGAAAAACTAGTCAACTAAAGATTATTGCTCTCCACATGCATCTTTACCTAGAAAACTATGTGTTGATTCCTCTTAATATCTTGGAAATACAACTATTTAATTATCAGGGTTGTTGGTAGTGCTTGCACAATGGGGGTGGTCTCCTTCTAATGAAAAATAAAATAAAATATCATATCGACATTTCAATAATGAGTGTACCTCTAAGCACTCCTAAGAATTCTAAATATCAAGTTGATTATCCTCTCCATCGTTTTCTTGAGCTACTATTTAAGTAAGAAATCATGGTCCTCCATATTCACAAAATTCTTAATATTTTTATCCTTTGTTGATTTGTAATGTTGCATCTAATTCATTCAATAGATCCATGCTCTCTTCTAAAGGATGTTAGATCATGAATTATCAGTATGTTATAACAGAATCTTATTAATGCAAACTAATGAGTAAAATTAGCAAAGAAATAAATGGAGAAATAATTTGTGTGAGATGTTTTGGGATTTCATTATATTAAGGGAGTTACAGAACAAAGGTTTTATCCTTCAACATTATTTTGACTTACTATTATTTATTTAGATCATGATCTAACATTATTCCATTGGCTATATATTTAGATACACTTATACGTTAAATAGATATCAACTCTTAAGAGAGAGCTTGATGTAAAATAAGTAAGGCTTGTAGTATTATTACATTTAAATGCACATTTGAATGGCTTGAAGAAATAAACAAAAATTTAGTTCTCCAGCTTGATGAGGAAGTTGCCGCCCTAATTAGAGGAAGGTGCCCATATTCTTGAGGGGGTGTTTGCAAATAGCTCCTAAACTAGAGTGATTTTAGTTGTGCTTGGACAAGTACTAATGAGCTTTGGCAATTACTTCTAAATACGTCTTAAAATGAGTAGGCTTTGGTGAGTTTACACTAATCCAAGTGGGTTCAAGCAAATATTGGCAAGTTCATGCTTGTATGGGAGAGTTCACACTGGTCTCCTTGAGTTTCCGTATGTCTGGCCCAGTACATGTCTATCAAATGTGTTTCTTTTGAACACAATTCTCCAAGAACTATTGGAGTTGGATTAACTAGGATAACGATATCCTTATTTAACTAAATTTAGAAAACAAGAATCTCTTTTTTAAATTGGTCTATTTTATCGAATTTTGAAGTACCCACAAGAATAAACAAGGTAGTTATACATAGTTAATTTTCATATGATTATTTTCTAAGTTGTGTAAGTTCTTCCATTGGCATAATAAGGCCTCAGGTATATGAATGCTTAATGTGCTCATCACATCACCTTCCAGACAACAATTACAGAACAATTGCTCAGTGGAAATTCTCTGTGATGTGATGTCCATTAAAATTCTTAGCACGAATCTTGTAGTTTTATTAACCTTAATGTAAACTGAACCATCATATGCCATTATATTTAAGCAATTTCCAAATTATTACTTATTTCTCTCAATAACAAATTGTAACGAGAACCTAACATAACTAGTGATTTAAGAAATTATATGTGTGCTCAAGAAAGAAGGGAAGACACGGAGAAGAATCTGTAGTGTCTAAGCAGAAAATTCAAATAGCTAACATTTGATAAATCTCAAGCAGCTCATGCTAATAATTTCATACTGCGGGAACATTACTTTGATTTCGTTTTCAGTTGCAAGCTTTTGGAAAGTTGTAAACTTGAGCAGTAGAGGTGAAGATTTGTCAAAGCAAAATACTTTGCTTCCTGCCAATACTAATATGCTACCTTTGTCCTCAGCATTTGTGTTCCAGCAATTATATCCTCCCAAAATAGATCAGAAATTGCTTGGGTCACTTCTCCGATATTACCTGCAATATTATTAAAATAGTAACTAAAATCGCATAATTGAAATGAAATCTCCGATTCACAAGTCAAGGCAAGAAAATAAAAAAAGTTTATTACCATCTCCAATTGGTTCTCCATCCCAATCAACGACAGCCATTATTGGGATCAAGCTACTGACAAACATCATTTCAGCTGAACCCTTTGCTTCTTCAACAGAGATATCCCTAGTAATGACGCTCTTAAGAATTCCCCTTCCAATCAGTTTACTTGCCAGAATGAGCAGCCTCTTAGCAGTGCAACCATGCAAGATTCTATCAGGTTTAGGAAGTAAAAGTTCTCTTTCTTTGCTTACAAATGCAATATTACAATTAGGACCCTCTGCAACATAGCCTTGTTCATCAACCCAGATTGAGGAATAGACACCCATCTCTTCGGCCTCCATTTTTGAAAGAACATTAGGAAGGTAGTTGACAGTCTTCATTGTTGCAAATTTTGGAGGTTTTGTTGGAATCGTTGTTGTTATGACCTTAACACCTTCCAGTTTTTGGTTGTACTCTTTGGCTATTGCTACTGAATAGAATGTTGGCCTTGCTTTGCTTGGAGGTGATAGCAAAAAATCACCCGGTCCAGAACTTAGCCAGTACCGGATTGAGCCAGTCTTGAGCTTCGATGCAGCCGCTAGAAGGAAAATAATTCCTTTGATAGTTTCACGAGGGTAAGGTGGGGATATTTTTGCTGATGATGCAGATTTCAGGAATCGGTCTAAATGTGAATCCAAGTCATACAAGCATCTGCACAGGTCCAGAATGCCAATATATATATATATATATATATTACAAAAAAGACTTAACTGATTTGTTTTCATGAAACTTAATACTTTACATTACATTGATGACAGGCAAAATAATGGACTAAGGTATAAATATATATATATATATTACAAAAATGACTTAAATTAACTGATTTGTTTTCATGAAACTTATACTTTACATTACATTCTATATATATATATATATATATTACAAAAAAGACTTAACTGATTTGTTTTCATGAAACTTAATACTTTACATTACATTGATGACAGGCAAAATAATGGACTAAGGTATAAAGTGAGAAACAAAAAGTTGAAGTTTCTTATGTGTGGCATCAAAGGTTTATGAAAATGGTTTGATTACCCATTCATGAGCATCGCTGTGTCGAACACTCCATGTCCTCTATGAACCATGTGATCATCTATTGGAATGACCATCAGAGCCGGATCAAGAATGATTCCACCAATCAAGCTGGAGTACATTGCTCGGCAAGGATGCTCTTCAGCTGTTTCATTACACCGTATGCTTCTCATCTTCTCAATCACCTGTAAAAGTTAACGAACTTAGGGTTATAAGGATTAGAACGGTATCTTGAATTTCTTTACATAATCTGCTGTAAATGCTTATTACTTTTCTTTCGTTGATGCATCCAACATTTCATGCTGCTCTAATGTTTCTAAAGAAGTGTTCCTAACGCAGTGATTTATATTAAAAAAAAAAAAAAACATTGCAACGATAAAGTTTCGCCGATTTGTTCGAAAAATCTCTCTTACAGGGCAGCAATGTCAGACAAGGTGAAGTAGTATTTAAACGAAAAATATCAAATGGCCTGAACCTCAGAAGTTGAGTAGACGGGAACAGAAAGTTCAGACTGCCATTTCTCGTGCCCTTTAGCAAAACCGATCACGTTATCTGGTTTAGAAGATCACGTTATTTGGTTTAGAAGAGTACTTGAAGGATCCATTCTCTGTAGACAAACTAGGATTTGGTGAAAAAGTGGAGGAGGAAAAGGATGAGGAGGAAGTAGAGTACTTGAAGGATCCATTCTCTGTAGACAAACTGGGAATTGGTGAAAAAGTGGAGGAGGAGGAAAAGGATGAGGAGGAAGGTGAAGATTTCTGTAGGGTGGGAGGTGGAGTTGGCTGACAGGGAAGAGCCATAGCAAGTTAAATGCAGACGTCAAGAAGTATGGAGAAGAAGAGATTGTGAAACCGATGGGAATTTATGTTGTCGTAGTTGTATATCAAGGTGGTGATTCAGATTGAATTCATTTTTAAGGCTGAAAACATTGAGAACAAGGACGGACTTGTGATTGTACTCTGTTGTTTTCCACTTAGCATTATAGATGCCGCTCTATGCTAGTTTTTTTATTTCTTTTCACAGGTTGTGGGCTACACTAAACTTTTTCATTCATTTTTTTTCTCTTTTTTTCTTATGATTTTAATCTTTTTGGGAAAATATTTTAAGCCTTTCATATTTGTTGAGAAAAAACTTGGTAAGCATAATTTATGTAGGATAAAGTACATTTTAATGAACAAAATTTTTATTAGTCCACCAAATCCACACTTATCTATATGTTTGTCTTAAAAATGTCTGCGCAAATCTAAATAAAAGCCGATGGTAGCAATGACTGCCCACAAACTCATTTGATTGGTCACCCCAGTCAATCGGCCGGCTACCTTGCCAGATGGACCCAATAATGAAAACGTATCAGATATACGAAAAGGTGTCAGACATATGAAAAGGTGGCAGATGTATGAAAATGTATAAGAGAAATGAAAAAGTGTAAGATATAAGAAAATGTGATAGACATATCAAAATTTGTCAGATATACAAAAATGTATCAGACGTATGAAAATGTACTAGACATATAAAGATCTATCAGACATATAACGATAATAATAACATTTAACTTCCAGGGATAAGAATGTATTTATTATACTTCTATCCTCCTGTCATCTATAAATAAGACCTTTCTCATGGAATGAGGATCTTCTCTCTTGACTTTTTTTTATATAGGGAGAACTCTCTCCCCTTCTCAATGTTAGCTATTTTCTGTAAATAAAATCGGTTAAATAGCTCGAGAATACTCAAGTTCACCCCTATGTTTGCTATTTTATTTCTTTTCACTACTCTGTTTGTTCTTGTCTCTCCCTTAAGGTCCCCACCAGTCTAATCCTTAGGCATGCCTCACATGACAAACTTGAATTCAACATCGCACGTAATATTTTTTCAAGCAAAGACATATGTAATTGATAAAGATTTATTTGCCAAGAAAAATTTGAGATGGATAAGGTTGTTCAAAATCACCATTTTATTAACAACTCACAAAGGACTTGCTAATTTTTTTAATTTCTCTCATTATTTATGTAGTTAAACTGAACTCGAACAAGTTTTTTTATCTTTTGTACTAGGAAAGCAAATAAAACTGAGTATTATCAAAAGTTGGAATGGTGAATCACACAACCCAGTTTTGATTCCCCATCTTTACTTAATTCTTACCCTCAATCCTGGTCTTTCATATGTGACTTTTGGGTTTTGTCTTACTAACTCCTAGTTTGAATTTCTTTATATCGGATTTTATTGCAATTTATTTAAATTTCTTTATATAGTATTTGAATTATACTATGTTTATGATACTAACCATGCATCAACAGCGGGAGCATCTGGTACACATTTGTAGTTTATATATTGCATTTTTTTGGCTAATTTACTTTATTTTCATTTTATTGTATTATGTACATTTTATTATACCTACAAGAACAAGAAAAAAATACACTTTCAAAATAAAATAATACACTTTCAAAACCTCAAAACAAACGTAATTTACCCTTTTTAAATTTATGAGGATTTCTCGGATGAGGTAACTTATCGTTGCTAATGAGAATTCTCCGGTCTAGATGGGCTTAATGGTCTGTGTAGGCTAAGTAAATTCAAAAGAAAATAATGATGGCAGGAAGACGAAACCGTGGGATCTTGATCGGTGTCGCTTAATTTTAATTAAAAATCCCCCCCAAAACATTCTAATAATAAAATTTATTAATAATAAAATAAACCTTAAACCTTGGAGCTACCGCTACAACAATGTGCTTGAAGCTGACTTTATGGACAGCATGACGAGGTCATAAAGTGCAGAAGAACATTTTCTAGAGAGCAAACGAGGCCTACGTCAGCTAAACCTTTCTAGATTTAATAAAAATTCATAGGATTTCGAGGTTATTTATCTAGTGCAATATAAATCCTCACCTTACCTTTACGCTTTTGCAACAATTATGTTGTACAATATAAGTACTAACTCTTTTAGGATGCTTAGGTGCTTGTTCGGTATGACATAAACCCTCCTTTCTTTCAGTCTATTTTTAAGTTCAGATATCGTGCATATGTAAGTCATAAGTAATAAAAATAATAAGATGAAACATCAAATAATATCACCTTCAAATTGAAACCAGATCATAAGATATTTTAGGAAGCCACTGAGATTCTCCTTGAGAACTGTGACATCCCATACTTCTCATTCCTTTGGATTCCTAAAATAATTACTCCTATTTGATCCACTCCTATTTGATTTTTCCTATGTCCAACTTTGAAAACTAAACTTTGCAATCTTGAAGATGAAATTTTTTATCATTATCGAGAGTTTTGTTAAGTGGCTTCAGACTCTTAGGATATAATTAACTATAGGGGTTTGACTTTATAGGGAACTAAAGAACCTAGGAAATATAAACACTATCTAATCCTTATATTAGACATGGGAACTTATCGGCTAACATATAAAAAGGTTTGCAGACCAAACAGATGTTATAAATTCTTTAGTTTATGTAATTGAGCCCCGCTAACAAAAAATGTGTTTATTCCTCATAATAGGCATGTTGTTTGTGGTGTAATGCTCGGTTATTTAAACTATTAAATATGTGAGGTCTTTTGATCTCATTTTCAAAATCAAAATACCACTTTCAAAAATCAAAACTATATGGGTATTAAATTAAATATTATTTTCAAAATAAATTATAAAAGCGACCGACAATTATGCTATTAAAACCCTGAATGAAGCTCAAACTAATTATACCACTAATGAGAATGAGTTATTGACTATAGTATATGCTTTTGATAAATGTAGACCCTATTTGATTGGAATAAAATGTACCTGTTCACACTGACCATTATGTTATTAGATATCTTATGTAAAAAAGGATGCTCAATCGAGATTGATTAGATGGGTCCTTTTAATGCAAGAATTTGATATAGAAGAGATGGATAGGCAGGGTACTAAGAATCAAGTAGTTGATCATTTATCAAGACTGGTTATGGGGAATTCATGTGATACTGAAGATGAAACCAATGAGAATTTTCTAGATGAGCAACTATTTGTTATTACTGAATGGCGCATTTTGTGTTATGCATACATAGTAAATTTCATATTTAGTGATATTATGTCCTATGGTCTGACATAGTATCAACAAAAGAAATTTATCCATGAAGCTGCCTATTACTTTTGGGATGACCTTTACCTTTATAGAAAATGTAAGGAACAAGTGCTTAGGAGATGTGTACCCATAGAAAATACCATTGAAATTATTAATAAATGTCATAATTCTGAATTTTTGGGACATTTTAGAGTTGATAGAAAATGTAAGGAACAATTGTGGGCTTGCACCATTTGTGTCTATTAAGTGCAGTCCTGGAAATCATGTCAGTGGCTTGGGTGACTCCAACATTGTTGGTGTCTTGTATCATGTTTATGTTTAGTTGTCCCTACTGATCTTACATGATTTGCTTTTCTGGGGTGACTATTGCATTGTTGACATACTGGAGTGTGTTCGATTTTTGTTTTGTATGTTATTGTCCTTGATTATTTCCAATAGAATGATATATTGTATAAGTTTTGAGCCATATATGTAGTGAGATCCTTTTATTATGTGATTTTTTTTTATTTTTTCTGAATGATAAACTACTTCACATATTTCATAACTATTGTTGACATTCAATTATTATATTTTTTGAGATTCATGTGACTACTCTTGTATTTTCTCTTTCCTGCTGTTACCTGATTTTATCAAGTTTATTGTTACTGCATGTTACTCATGTTTTGAAAAAGAACAAGTGTGGGGCAACTCTATACCCTTTTACAAACCTAAAAATAGTTCACATAACTCAACAAAAAATAAAAAAATGATATAATAACTCTTGCTAGGAATCTTAAGCAATTCAACCTCCTTATTAAAAGTTCTTTTTAAATGAGTTTAATGCATTTAGGGGAGATTAGACTTAATGCTACAATAACATGGTTTCAGAACGCAATAACTTCTAACGCACCTAAAAATCTCAAGATAATTAAAAAGGTGTAATTAAAATAGGTAGCTAAACAACAAAATTTTAAATCTTTTTTAGTTGTTTATTTAGCCAACATAATCTTATATTAACTTTTGACTTGAATGATTACATGAAGGTGTTGAATTAAGACATTCATTTTTTTAGACTTAACACTTAGAGGAAATTAACCTTCATCATATTTAAAAAGAGAATTAAAAATTTTTCTAACTAAATATAGTAATTCTCAAGAGAAAAAGAAAAAGAAAATAAAAGAAAATGAAGAAAAAAAGAGTCACAAAAGGGGTGAAAATGGCCGAGAAGAAGCTTCAGGTTATCCCATAAATTGAAAGGAAAAGAAAAACTTGTAAGGTGTTTTAGTCTAATTTAAGTGATATGACTTTTCCATGGGCCTTTAATGAAATCCATCTAATGTTATCTTCAAAAAAATAACTAAGCAGGGTTGAGATAGCTAGTTTCACTTAAATTGATCTAAAATATCAATGGCTAGTAAAAATATTTGAATATCACTAATTTATTTGTCTTTGGGATTCCTTAAGGGTTGTCTAAGGAAATTTAGAGAAAAGACCAAGTTATTAAATATTAAGATTAATTAACCATAAAATGACAATTAAACACTTTTAAATTTCTTTAATAAAAAAGTTGGATACTTAAGAAACTTGTAGATGTGCCAATTACATCCTCATGGGGCTTTGTTGAGCTATGAACTTACTTGAGGGCAAGTAATGAGATAAGTTCGGAGGTATTGACATGAGTTAATTTTATCTGATTTTCATTTGATTTTTATCCTACATTTTACCTACTATTTTACCTTATTTTTCATTAATTTGCACTTGTAGAAGGTTTTTGTTGATGTTGTGCGGGTTACAGGAGATCACACGTGCATTTCAGAATAAGAAAAACCAAGGAAAAGAGGCTAAAAGTGGCACGACCATGCCTGGAAGAGGCATGACCACACCACCATACTGTAACCAGCATCGTGACCTTGCCACAAGTG